CGTACTAATCTGGAGGGTCCGACGTGGGACCAAAGCGAAGACGGAAGAGGTCGTCAAGGCGGTGGTAGCAGTGGGCGATGGTGTGACCGGGACAGTCACAGACGGTGCCGCGGCGGGGGCCGGTCTGAAGCTGGTACTAGCAGATAAACCACACTGGAGCTGCCACTCGACACCAAGCTGCGCAGCGCACTGCCACAACAACCACCACCAGCGCCACCGGGCCACCACGGCAGCGGGGGTCCCCACGGCGGCTGCTGCTGCTGCTACTGCTGCGACTACTGCTGCTGAGGCTGCAGGTGAGGCGGCTGCTGCTGCTGGTGAGGCTGCTGCTGCTGGTGAGGCTGCGGCTGCTGCTGCTGCTCTGGGGCACCAGCTCCGGTCCCCTCGTCTGCACCACCGTCCCTGGCCCCACCTCCACCACCCCCACCTCCTCCACGCCCCCCCTTGGGGCGGCAGCCCTTACCCGGACACTGCTGTGCTGGGGCCGCAGCGGCGGTCTGAGCAGTAGGGGCTGTCTCAGCGACAGCGGAAAAAACGTCAGAGTAAGTGCACTGGGAGGGAGCACAGCCCTGGAAGATAGGGACTGGCGTAGTACCACTAGACTGAGCGATAGTGCATTGGCGGGTCTCTACCGCGGACAGGGCGGTGACAAAGGCAGTAAGGGTGAGATCACCTGGGTGCTGACTAAGGAAGTGGTCACGGGCACTGGCTAGGCGGTCAAGCAGGCGCGTGGAAATGAGGTAAAGGCAGTGAGAATAAAGCAATGGCGGGAAGGCAGTGAGCTGTGCCTTGGTGCTAGCGGCGCTGTAGCTAGTCTCCGGTGCGCGGAGGTGAGTGGCAAGGTCAGCGACAGTGGGGAAGGACGCAAGGTCTTGGAACAGCATGGGGAGGATCAGGCGGTTGGCAGAGGCTAAGGCAGGGGTGGAATAGAGCGCGATGATGTCATCTAAGTATTCTTTGGCGTTTGAGATAGCAGAAAAGCGGGAACGCTCAGACAGGGGGAAGGGCATGACTATTGGCAAGCTGAGCAACCGCGTCGCGAGAATCTCAGACAGCGCAAGAAGGCTCTGTAATCACAAAAGCCTCATGCTCAGTAGACGTGGGGGCGTCAGGGAGGGCAGCAGGCAGGGCGGGGCGAGGGAACTTAACGTCAACATGGACGGCCAAGTTGTGGCCGTCCTGACGCTGCCCGGTCAGTTGGACGCAGAGGTCGACGAGCCACGCCTCAATTTCAACGGCCCGACCCTCCGTGTCCAAGCGGAGCAGAGAGTCCGCCATCACCACGGCTGCGGCAGCTGACTGCCGCTGACAAGGGGAGGAGAGAAATCGAAGGAGGCCAGTGGAAAGTGGTGGAGTACGGTGGAGTGCGGTGGAGTGCGATGGGGAGCGGTGGAGTGCGGTGGAGAGCGATGAAGTGTGGTGGAGAGCAGTGGAGACTGCCGACGGGAGCGCCCGCTCAGAGGGGAAGCCAAGGCCGGCGGGGTTGGGGGCCGGTAGCTGGCGGCTAAGGGCGTCTGGCGGTGATGGGCCGACGGCTACAGGCGGGCAAGCGACTACGAGCGGGCTGGCGGCAACAGGCGGCCAGCGGGGATGGGTGGCCAGCAGCTGCCGGCGGCTGGCGGCTACAGGTGGCCGGCGGATACGGGCGACTGGCAGCAGCAGGCGGCTAGTGGCGACAAGCGGCTGGCGGCTACAGGTGACCAGCGGCTACGGGCGGCTGGTGGCAACAGGCGGCCAGCGGCTACTGGCGGCTGGCGGCTACGGGTGGCCAGCGGCTACGGGTGGCCAGCGGCGACGGGCGGGCTGGCGGCAACGGGCGGCCAGCGGGGATAGGCGGGCTGGCGGCAACGGGCGGCTAGTGGCGACAGGCGGCCAGCGGCGGCGGGCGGCTGGCGGCTACAGGCGGCGACAGGCGGCCAGCGGGCTACGGGCAGTTGGCGGCCACGAGCGGCAGCGACGGCCTGTGGGCTGGCGTCTACGGGCTGCTGGCAGCTACAGGTGGTCAGCAGCGACAGGCGGCCAGCAGCTACAGGCGGCGACAGGCGGCCAGCGGGCTACGGGCAGCTAGCGGTGACGGGCGGCGGACAGCTGTCGGCTAAGGGCAGCCAGCAGGCTGGCGGCTACGGGCGGCTGGCGGTTATGGGCGGCCAGCGGCCTCCTATCGACGGGCGGTAGGCAGCTAGCGGCTACAGGTGATGGGCGGCTAGCGGCGGCTAGCGACGGGCGGCTAAGAATGGGTAGCTTGGGCTAGGGCTAGGAGAAGGGCAGAAGCGCGGGTGGGCGGGGTCCTAACCTAGCGTGATACCATCTCAGAGTAAGAAAATTGACTAGAATGAAAGGGTACAAGGAAATATAACCTAAGGTGTTGTACTCTATATAAGCATGCACCTATCTAGCCTAGAACATATACAAAATATATGTTGACACCCCATGCCGATCATTCAATAAATGCTCAATTGTCGCACTTCCACTCATTCTTTGAACTTGCCAAGCCCTCGGCAAAAGTGTTGCCATAATGAACTACCGTACTTGTAGCCTGAAAATGATGCAATGTACGGGAGGAGTGAACTTATGGCAACACTTTTGCTAAGGGCTTGGCAAGTTCAAAGAATTAGTGGAAGTGCGTTAATTGAGTATTTGTTGAATGATCGGCATGGGGTGCCAAACAAGCCTGTGCCAAAGCATATAAATGAGTAGGTAGCGCGAGTACCATGTGATGAGGGTACCTTGCTGGCGCAAGCCTCGACTTGTGGAATGTGGGGTTTACCAGCAAATAAAAAATCTGATTGCGTTGAGAGTTATCTGGTACCGGGTGCAACCATATGATTTGGAACAGAGATGATTGTGATTGAGCGCATAGTATGCTTCTAAGATGTGAATTATCACATGTGGCTTTGTTTAGGACCCACTGGTGAGACAAGGCCTCGCATTCATCGTTAGGCTGATGGGTGCTTGGTGCGAACCCTCTACGATACATTATGTGTATGCTCCCATTGACTTCTTGACGCATGGGCTATGTTTTTCTGTACGACACGTGGATCTCAACCGATGCATTCTTTATCGTTAGCCAAATACAGTTACCCCGTGCGTGGTTTGCCTCTGCCCTATTCATACACTAGCGAGGGGCTAGACTAGACGTGCCAGAGAAGCTCGACAACTTGGGCACGTGCATTATCATGCATGTCATGTCATCACATAGTGGGCAGATTGAGTATGGCATCCTCCTAACATTCGCACTGATACGCCAAAAATCCCTCCGGATATATGTGGTGTTTGGGCTTGCTGTATGTGCAAATCAGACCTCCCCCCGCATTACACACAGCAGTATTCATGGCGTGACAGCGTCGGGCTAGTCTCAAGACTCCATGGCATGAGAGGGTTAGGGGTGCTATCGAAATACAATATACAATAAGATTTCATGTGCCATGGCAAGGCAAACACCGTTGACAATTCATGCAAATAAAGGGAATATGTTCCTTCCAACGACAATTGCTTCCTTTGCCGAAGAAATGAAAAAACGGTACCATCATTCTCGATATCCACTATCGAAGGTGTGCAGAGAATGGAAAAATCATCTGCCCTTTGGCCAGGGACAGAGCAGCGCACACCATCACTCTCACACAGTCACACTTGGTGCGCCAGGTCTTTCAGCTAGGTCCTTCAGAGGTTCGGTCTTCAGTTCTCCTCTGCATAGCCCACACCTCTGCCAGTAGACCACAGGCTCTCAGCTCCAGTTCCTGAGGAGTCAGTAGAGCCCAGTGGTCCTTACGCAGAGCTGGTGGGTTGCCTTATGTACCTGATGACTTGTACTCGCCCAGATCTCGCATACCCTCTCAGCATCCTGGCTCGCTTTGTGGCCACAGGTAGACACCGACCACAGCACTGGTCGGCCGCTAAGAGGGTTTTGCGTTATCCAGCAAGTACATCGAGCATGGGGCTAGTGCTAGGAGGACACAGGCCAGTGGCCCTTACTGGGCACATAGACGCTTCTTGGGGAGACGACGCTGAGACGCTCAGGTCCTCCCAGGGCTACTGCTTTAGCCTTGGTTCAAGTGACATCTCGTGGAGGTCCACCCGCTTGTCGTCTGTTGCCGGGTCTAGCTGTGAGGCTGAGATCTATGCCAGTGCCATGGCGGCACAGGAGCTCCGGTGGCTGACCTTCTTGCTCACTGACTTAGGTGAGCAGCCTAACTCTGCCCTAGTCCTGTACGCTGACAACACGGCCATGATCCTCCTGTGTCTGGAGCCTCGACTTGAGGGCAGAGCGAAGCACATCCAGTTGCAGTACTTCCTCCTGCGCGAGCTACAGCAGCGCCGCCAGGCCCGCGTAGTACACTTGGCCTCCGGTGCCATCATAGCTGATATCTTTACGAAGGCGCTTGCGCCTAAAGATCATCAGCAGCACTGTGTACAGCTTGGTCTAGTTCCTGTATCTTCTCACTTGCTAGGACCCTGATTGTGTACTCCTTTTCTATTCACTTGACTGGCCTTGTGGCTTATGTCCCTGTGGCTGGACTAGTAGTACCGCCCTGGGTTGCTCTTGTTTAGCTTGTACTCTTGCTGACCGGTCTTCGGACCCTTGCCTCATAGGCTGGACTAGTGGTGCCACCCTGAGCTGTGTGTCGATTTCTAGGCACTGCCCCTCATCTGGCCTAGGGGGTGTGTCAAACATATTTGTATATGTTACAATTAGCTAGATAGTTGCATGCTCTTAGAGGGTACAACACTTGAACAAAATCAACCTGTATGCCTCATTCTAGTTAACTTTTTACTGTGAGAGGTACAACATACTACCTAGTAGATACTCACTCTTACCTTCGGTTCTAAATTCTAATTAATTCGTTACTCTGAGAGTATATGGCTCTGCACTGCACCCTAGGGTCATATATCCGGGGTTTTATGGTAATTGTTCTGTAGCAACAGCCTGACAGACCTAGCCCCAGAATTCACCCAGAGGATGCAAGAGAGCAGAAAGAGGTTGGAGTACTGAAGTCGACATATCAGGGATAGCAACTCACCGTGAGTTATCATTTCACTATTACCTGTTACAACGATTTACATTAAACAATCACAGCAGTGCTTCTAGGCTTCTAGAAACACTGGAAAAAAAAATGACCTCTCTGCGCAAGCCAGCTTTCAGCCGGCACTCATTCAGGTGCATTGTGGCCCATCAAGGCCAAGAATATGAAGTGGCGCACATAGGCCTTCCTCTTCCAGCTGACCAATCAGTGCTCGAAGAGGGGCCATGGGCCCATGGCTCGCCATCAGCTGCCAGACTTCCACCCCACCCACCGCACCACACTGCACGGCACACAAGGCACCCTCCTTTGTCTCATCCAATGCCCCCTCCACACTCCGAGGCACCCTTCTCCTGGTGCATTATCTTCGCATGAAGTTCCTATGAACCTGCTCCGCTTGCCCCCCCAGCCACGAATGCACATGCACACTTTCCTTCCTCCAACCCCCATCCCATCCCATGCCCTCTCCGCACTCCATAGCACCGTTTCCCACTGCATTACCTTCACATAAATTTCCTTTGAACCTGCTCCGCTCGCTGCTCCACCCTCCAGCTGCGAATGCACATTCGCCTCCAGGAATCATACGCCACTAGCCCATGCGCCCCTAGCTGCTCCGCCCTCTTTCCTCTCCCCCTGATCCCGCTGTTCTGCACCGCAACGCACCCAAGCCTCTTGCAGGCTCGGTCCAAACCTCCTAGGCTCGGAGGAGCATCCCAGATGCCCTTGATGGTACCTGCGGGGAAGAGCCCTCTGTCCAGGAAGACGACACGAAATCCATTTTTCCAGCGGCACAAGTCCTTCCCAATCTGCTTCGAGGGAGGAGGGAGTGAGGGGAAGAGAGAGAATGAGGGTGCTTAGAGGGGAAGGGGGAGAAAGAGGAATCCAATGAGGGTTCTTAGAGTGAGAGCAGGCGCAAGAGAGAAACATAAGGAGGCAGAAAGGGTAGGACGTGTGACGATATTCTTACCTTCAATTTGCTGCCCTCTCCACACAGAACATCATGGAACGCCCGATATTCCTCCACCTCCCCCTCGCCCTCCATTGCACTCCCAGCCATACTCCCCCCCTCCTCCCCTGCCTCGGCTCGCGCCGCTGCCATATAAGCCACAACGGACCCCAACGCCTTAAGCGAGAGGTGCGACGGTCGGGCAAACATGAGCCCAGCACCGATTGTCCTCGCAGCATTGGGCGCTCGATGCATGTCTGGTTCCATGCTTTGCACGGCTAGCGTGTTGGAGTCTAGAGAGAGGAGGTGAGGGAGGGGGTTGGAGAACCAGACAGTGTGCACGTCGGCCCATAGGACGGAGTAGCCGAGGCGGAGAATCCGCATCATCAGGACTGGGGCAACTGAAGCCAATCGGGAGGCAGATGACGTGTCGTCTGAGTCAGTGTTGTTTGAGGCTTGGGTGGCAGAAGCAGGAAATGGAACAGCGCTTGTAGGAGTGGCAGCAGCTGCAGCAGCAGCAGTCACGGACTGATTAGCTATTGGTGTCTTGTGCATGAATACAGGAATGCCTTGCAGGAAAGCGTATGCGTACATGCGTGCATCCAAAGCGGCCAGCATGTAGTTGCTCATCCCAAGGTTGCGCAATCTGCAGATACTGTTCATAGCAGCCTCTCTGTCTTCAAACGAGGACGCCAATAAGATGACCGCTTGCTGCTCGCTCGCGACGATTGGCAGAAGCTGCTCCAAAGTGTACGGCAGGCCCTCGGTTCCCTTCCAGAACCCCACGCTAGCAGCTGTACGCGTTTTAGGCTGCTCTTTTTCTAACAAAGGCGACCTCTTCCCTGCCGTGGATGCCTTTGTGGCGTTCTTAGCAATAAGCGTAGCGTCGACGCCAGCAGTAGTTGGCAGGATAAGGCCGTTCCGCAATCTCGTCTCACCAACCCCGCCCATGTCTTCTAAGCCTAGACCGAAATCAGCTTCTAGCGAGGATAGAGTGGAATCCGCGCCGTCGGGTGCGGACCGCAAGTCACGGAGCAGATCTGCGTCTAGATCGTTCTCAGCCCCTGTGTGGCCGCACGACAGCCAATTCGCATCGTGCGGTCGAGTGTCGCCGGTAGACCTGCCCACGAACGGCGTGTGTTCGCACGAGCAGTTACCCGGCCGGCGACGTCGCATGAGACACATGGATTCGCCTGGTTCGGGACAGAGCGGAAGCGGACAGGGAACGAAAGAAAGTGAGATTTCAATCTGGCCCAAGAGCGCACAACGGAACCACGTTAGCTGGCACAGTGGACTTCTTACAACCACTATTGAACGATGCTGTAGCGCGTCATCCATAAAAATAACCACAGCACACCGTACCTCCGGGCTCGAAGCAGGGAGCAAGCCGCCAGGGCGCGTGGCTAATAGAACCGCCTTCGCTGCTGAAACCTCCCGCGCGCCACTGCACCTGCGCCATGTGCGCATTCGCGTACACCTCCCACCGCTTCGCGTTCCTCCCGGGCAACGGCTGCCACAGCGACTGCCCGAGCGACGACGACTCCCCGGCAAAAGACCCTCCGCCTCTGCTGATGCTGTTGTGCGTTCTCCCCGCGCGCGGAGACTCCGCCCCGTCCCTTCCCGCCTCCGCCCCGCTCAGGAGCCTCCGCCTCTGCGGAGCCTGCCGCGACAGAAACGAGCGCGCGAGGCGCGACAGAGCTCCCAACCCTCCAGACCCCCCCCTCCCGCCGACTATTCCGCCGCAAAGCACGGCGGCGACGGTTTCGTCGCGCCGCTTCTCGACGGCGAGTTGCGCCTCCCTCTGCGCGTCTAGGGCGGAGAACACGCGCACCGCCGTCACCGCATCTGTCGCGTCCACTGCGTATCGCGATTCCGGATCGTCCCGAACCGCTGCCGGCACGCCAGCCTCGTCAGCCGCCTCCAGCTCCGACGCAGCGCGTGCAACTTGCGCCGTGACGTTACCGTTAGCGTTACCGCTGCCGTTACTGCTACTGGCCGAGGCGGGGAGAGAGCCGGCGGCGCGCGCGACGAGCCAGCGGAGGTAGTTTCCGCGGCCGAGGAAGAAGGGCGGGATGGCGATGCTGGGATGGAGCAGCGGCGCCGCGGGGCGGTTCCACATGAGGACGGTCGCACCTGCTATCACGTTCAGCCGCCCCCTCTGCCGGACGTAATCGCGAATCTCCTCCTCGTTGACCCCGTTGACCGCGGGGGCCGTAGCGGGGTGAGAGGGGAAACCGCCGCGGGAAGCGGCCGAGGAGCGGTAGGAGAGGGTGCCGGGTTTCTCGGTGGACGAAACGGAAGGGTGGATGTGCGGGGGAAGCCCGTCGAGCGAGAAGCGGAAGGTGTGGACGTCCCAGGGGGCCGAGAGCATGACGAACGAGGAGAATCGCGACGCGAGTCGACGCGCCGCGAATAAGACGTCGTTAAAGAGGAGCACGTCGGGGTCCACTAGCATGACGATGTCACAGTGGGGCGACGCGGCGGCGGAGGCAGAGGCGGAAGCGGAGGAGGAGGCGGAGCCCGAGGCGGAGCCGGATGAGGGGGAATCGGCGGCGGACGCCACCGTGCCGAAGGCCTGGATGCGCGCGAGGACGGAGTTCAGCAGCGGCGTGCCCTCGAGGTTAGTGTCCACGTCAGCATCCACGCTGACGTGGTTCGGGAATTCCGCCGCCACAGACGCCAGCGACGGGTGCGCGCCGAGGAGCACGACTCGCGGGGTGGGGTCGAGCCGCAGCCACGACATGAGCGCGCGGCGATGCGAGTAGGAGGAGACGTTGTAGGCCGTGGGCGCTGAGAAGATGGTCACGCGTGGGCACTTAGACGCGCGCGCGGAAGAAGGGCGCGCGGAAGGAGCTGCTTGCGATCTCAAACGATCCGACGACGCAGAATCATCGCCAGCGTCGGACACCTCGCCAGGCCGAAGCAGGAGTCGCTGGATGCTATTCGTCGCGCGCGTCGCCGCCGTTCCGTCGCAGCCGCGAGCACCGCGTCGCAAGTCGACGAAGGAGGTGAGGGAGCAGAGCGCGATGAGGCAGACGACGACGCACTGCGCGCGGGCGATGCGGGAGGAGGATAGCGTGGAGGAGACGGCGGAGCAGAGAAAACACGCAGCGGTCTCGCTGAACGTCGGCTGGACGGTCATGGCGGAAGTGGAGGAGGGGGGTAACAGGTGCCTCCGGGAGGACTTCCCCTGACGACTCGTAGGAAACCGATAGAAGTGGGCAGATTCTTAGGTAGGTCGAGGAGATGCGCGGAGGAGAAACGTCGATTTTTCGGAACTTCTGTCCGAAATAGTACTTAGATTAAAGGTCCGTCAGACAGGCGGGGGAAATGGAACGGGTAGTAGTAACATTGCAGTGAAAGGAAAGGAAAGAAAACGAGACGAAACGATAACTCCCGTTGTATTACACTGATCTGTGGTGGAGGCAAAGAGTATGACTTAGTCGCTTTTCCTAGTTGCGCGGTTAGAACTGCGTGATCCACGAATGCTTTGGAATTTTGATCCAATTGTGCTAGCACACTGATCTTAGAGTCTGGACAGCCAGATCTTCTCTCAAAAGAGACACAAGGCTAGACTTCTGCCCCAACTCGTTATTCAGGATATTGACGCGGATAAGGCGGGCTCCTCATGCCTCTACTAGTCAAGCGAGTGACCTTGGTGACTCGTGAGGTTAGTCAAGCGAACAGAGAAATTGGAGCCTGTCTGTGTGTCCTTGCCTTATGAAAGGTCACTCTGAGCTGGACTAGAGGATACTGTCATGCTGTCTAGGCTGCTGCTGTTGCGCTTGCTTTGTCCAATGACGCGAAATGTCTGTCACGCGATCTGCCAATGGAGTGACGAGGGAGCGAGCTTTGAGCTTTGTTGTGTGGCCATACAGACGGAGGGAGGAGGGCGGTTCGTCCGACATCCATAAGCAACCCCCCCCACACCACGCCACTCTGTACTGTACGTACTGTACAGAACAGACCAAGCTGTTCTGACCGCTGGTGTGGTCAGATGGGATTGGGTGAGGATACCACGAGGTACGGAAGCAGGCTGGATGCTGGTTGGTCAGAGAGTGGTGGGACTTGGCGCGGCGAAATGGGACGAGAGTACTGTGTTTTGCCCGAGCCGACAGGCAATGAGCTGAGAGCACAAGAGAGACGTCGATCAGGTGGTATCGATCACATCTGACGAACGAGGGCCGCACCACACCAGACTAGAATGGTTCCGTCGGTCAGCTGGGTGGTCCACTGGGAGGAGCGCGGCTTACAATGAATGTCTGTAGCTCTGCACTGTGTATGGTAAAGCACAGTCGCACAGTCCTCAATCAACTGTGCAGGACGTACAGTACTCTGTAGGACAATTAGGTTGGGACACGTCCGCCAATTTCATTTGATGTTTACCCTACTTGCCGCGACAAGAATACAGCGCTGAATCACCTCACAAGGACTACAGAACTACTGTAAAACAAGCAAAGACGCCAACCCTTGTGTATTTATGATTTCAAAACACCTAAGTTTTACGGCCGGCACAGCAAGCAGTTTGTCTTTCCAAAAACTGGAAATGGAATATGCACTGTACAGTTGTCTCTGGTGGTGCCAGGTTCGCAAGGAACCAGAACGTCTACCCCGGAGGACGAGTTTGTTCGGAGGCGTAAATCCGAGACAGGACGTTTGCGCAAACTGACCTGACGATGCGACTACAGTTCGCCAGGTCGGTGTGCTGTGCAGTGTATCGCGGGTCCTGCCAGCAGGTGCCACAGATCAGTTCAATGTCCAGTAGTGCGACAAAGACAACGGTGAAGTCAAATTTCCTCACGTCAAACGGAACCTGCTGTAGTGTGCGCCAGCTCTCCCGCTCAAATGACACCACCTGCCCGCCAACTCGTTCTCATTTCAAGCACGTCCAGCATACAGTATCATACATGATTGGCGTATTTGGCACCCTGTTAGTGCTACTAGTTCAAAATTGAACAAATGTGATCCAATCGGGCATTTTCAACAAAGGCTACTAAAATATACTACATTTCAAACGCTCAAGGGTCTAGCGCTTATATAAACAAGTTCCAGCTTTTACTTTATTCGATGATGCGATCACAAAGGCATGGGATCGTTATAATTGAACAATGCTTTTTAGATGCGCTTTGCGGAAGCGATGTGATTGGTTGATGATCCTTGTCATTCTTATGAATGAATCAGAGTAATAACAGATAGTATAATAGGGGTCTTGATACAAATGAGGGCCTAGGCATTTATAGGTACGAAAGTCTCTAGCCGAGAACCGCGAGAACAAGTTGGGGCGGTTCGGTTAGCGAAATCTACAGAAGTGCCACGCGCCGAGGTTTGGGTTCGTAAAGTGGTTCGAGACCGAAGAAGTTGGCCGAGTCTGGACTTCCGAGAGTCGAAGGCGTACACGCTCTAGTCGAGCCCAGTAAGGAAAATGAAATTTCCTTATACCACCCCCCTTTCCGGGACAAGACTGCCCATTTCGGGGACACGTCGTCGGTGTAAATAATCTCGAACAACTCTGTGATCGCCGAGCGTAGTTGCGGGTACCCAGAGATCGTCGCTCGTACGATCAACCTAATGGACGAGGAAATCAACGGCTGCGGTATCACGTCGACCACATACGCGGTGAGCGAGAATCTTGGCCAGCTCGGTCATTGGCTCGGGTACTGGGTTGATCGTAGGATTTATGTGTAGACGGTTGAGATTACTGGCACTCGAGACGAACGGTCGTAGAAGATTGGCGTGGAACGAATCATGGATTTGCCAGTCAGCAGGTAATTGCAGCTGGGCGGTATCTGGTGTCACCATTCGAATAATGTTGAAGGGTCTGCAAAATCTTGGTCGTGATTCATTTGGGAGGGGAATTTCCAAATTCCTGGTGTCGAGCAGGACCAATTGCCAAGGGGCAAGTGTTAAGCCTCGGCGTCGTCGATCAACTTACTGCTTAGCCGTCTGGTAGTCTTTTAAGATGGCATCGGTGGCTTTTTGCTGAGACTGTCGGATATTTTTTACGAGATACTGAGACCTGGGTGCCGGATTTTCTATCGGTGGCGATAGAGGAGTAGACGGGTCTATCCGTTCAGTCTGGCCATTCGATTGCGAGTGGTAGGCCATGGACACATGTAGACGTGTGTTGTACTGCTGCCAGGTTTTTGTTCAAAGGTTGGATGTGAAGGGTGAATCGCGATCGCTGATAATTGCTGAAGGGATATCGTGTAGCCACACAATGTTCGTGAGGAACATTTTCGCTGTCTGCTCGGCTGTAATTGTCGTTTTGTAGGCAGCGAAATGGGCAATTTTTGTGAAACAGTTGACGAAAACAAGAATCGCGCCGTTACCGCTCGGGCCGGCATGCAGGCCTGCGAGGAAATCCATCGGCACCTATTGCCAGGGTCTGCTGGGTGGCTCGAGCGGCTACAGCAGTCCAGCAGGTCGAAGTCTGGAGGACTTCATGCGTTGACATGCGCCACACGAGATGACATACCACGGCAAGGCCGTCGGTAGGTCAGGCTAGTAATAATGACGGCTCAGTGATTTGGCGATTCTGTCAATGTCATAGTAACTCGAGAAATTCAAGTTATGTGCTTCTTGTATCAGTAATTCCCATAGGTTGCGGTAGGCGGGAACCCAAATCCGATTGATACCGAATTTTAGATAATGGCCCCTTTGCTTGGCTGTTAGTTAGGGATGGTTGTTAGTGATGAAGAATGGGTCAAAACTGTATCCGTGGATGAATAGGCCAGTTAGGAGCATATTAGTTCGGGTAATTAGGATGGTAGCGGTATGGACCGAGGGGCGGTCAGTGCGTCAGCATTGTTGCTACCCCCTCGTTTGTTTGGTGATTCTGAAATGGAAGTTTGACTCGAGGTAGTCGAGCCAGCAAATCCGTCAGGGATTCACTGTCGGTTGGGCGCAGATGAACTGTAGCAACTTGTGGTCTGTTCGGACTCTCATGTCAACGCCGGTCAGGTAGCAGCGCCAAACCTAGAAAGCGCGAACAATGGCGAGTAACTCTTTATTGTTTACAAGATAATTTCGCTCAGCCTGGTTCAGCTTCTATAACTTGTAGGCGATGGTTTGTAGGCTTTCGCCGAAGTCTTGTAACAACACAGCGCCAACGGAAAGATCGCTAGCGTAAATAATGAGCTCGAATGGACGGTGAAGATTCGCAATCCGAAGAACCGAAGGTGTAGTAAGGAAAAGTTTGAGCTTTTCGAAACAACCTGCTGCTCTCCGCCCCACTAAAAAAACGTGCCCTTCTTCAGCAGATCCGTGACAGAGGAAGTTACCCCCGCCATGTTCGGAATGAACCGGCGGACGTAATTTACAAACCCCAGAAAACTCTGAAGTTTGCAGAGATTAGCCAGCAGCTTCCAGTCTTGGATCATAGTGATCTTTTTTGGGTCAATTTTAACGCCGTCGATGGAGATTACGTGGCCCAAAAACTCCACTTCGTGTTTTAAAAAATCGCACTTAGAGCCTTTGGTAATGAGTTCATTTGGCTGCAGGAATGAGAAAATGGCTTCCAGATCCTTCAAATGCTGCTCTTGGGTAGTACTGTAGACCAGGATGTCGTCGAGGTACACCATGATGCACTTATCCATCAATGGCCGGAAAATCTTGTTCATTGTCAACTAGAAAGGTCAAAGGTGCGTTTGTTAAGCCGAATGGCATAACTATGTACTCATAATTTTCGTACCGGGTCCGAAATGCCATCTTTTAGCAGTCAGCTTCATGCACGCGAATCTGGTGGTAACTATCTCGTAGGTCAATTTTGGAGAAGAACTAAGCCCCACGGATTTGGTCGATGAGTTCATCGGCACGTGGGATTGGGTAGCGGGACTTGATGGTAACTGTATTCAGAGCGCGGGGTAGTCGGTACATATTTGTAATCCACCATCTTTCTTCGGGGTGAACAGGATTGGTGAAGGGAACGGAGAGGTGCTGGGGCAGACAATTTTTTTTTCTACCAGGTAGTCCAACTAGCGTCGAAGTTCGTTCAACTCCGGCTGATTCAGCCTCCATTGGGTCCAAACAGTCGACTGTGCGCTGGGCTTGAGCTTGATTTTGTGGTCGTACGGGCGCTGAGGTGGCAAGCCTGCAGGGAGACCATCCGGAAAAATGCCAGCATGCTTCCGAATAATCTTGGCCAAATCATCAGGGACAGCTCCGCATAGTTTTTCGATGTCGGTCAGAGTTTCAACAGCCGTTGATGCGATCCATCGCTGCTTGATAGTCACAGCGCTGAATATCGATGTGGCCGAGTCTTGACCGCTCCACTTGTGAAGTCGTCGCCACTCACCATTCCACTTGATGCGACAGCCGCACGTCCGCCAATCGATGCTCATGTTGTACTCGCGTAGCCAATCAGGCCCCAGCAGCATGTCCCACCCATCCAAGGTCGTCGCCATCATCCTCGTAATAAAACTGAAGTTTTCACCACAGGTGACTCGCACGTAAGGCAAATTCTCCCGAATCGCCACTGGGGTGCCGTCAACCAACATCGCGTCGATTTCGGGCATGCAGCGCTCCAGATGCAATCGAAGTTTCTTTGCCTTTGTAACGTCCATCAAATTACGGCTCGCCTCGCCATCAATAAATAATTTGATTCAGGTGTTGCCAACTCTCCCTTCAACCAACATAGGGTGATCAACTAGTTCACCTCCCTTGTTCAACCAAGAATGGTCGATAGCCCAAATCGGCACCATAACCTGGTGGGGGTGATGGTGTTTGGGCGACGCAGTCAAGTCGATAGGCGGCCCATCAGCAACTGACTGTTTCCATTTCCCGACAGCTTATCGTCGTTAGCTAAGTTCTTCTTCAGCTCCGC